ATGTAATGTTTTGAAAAGAAAAGTTGTAAAAAAATGGAAATATAGATGAATAAAACAAAAAATACAATTGCAGTCCACATGTGGAATGAAAAATGCATGGTTGTCAATGGGTTAATGTTTTCGTATAATATGTCATATTTACACAGGGAAAGATGAGAGAAGGAACGCTTTTGAAACTTTCCCGAGCTTTTTATCACTTTATAGGGTACTCCATATTCTGATTTCCGATTGTTCTCATCCTGAGAGCAGTCAAATATCTGTGGTCTCACGTTAATACCTGCACCTGCACAAGAAAATATCATGATAGGCTGTTTAGGCGGATTTGTCAGCGTATAGCTAATTTAATACTATGTAAATGTATGTAAGTGTAAACTTTTCAATTCTGGATACAGAAGTTCCTCCATATGTGCTGCATAACTAACTGATCATAGCGATATCTGAAGAACTTCCAGTTTTTGTTCTTGTAGCACTCAATCACATATTTTGATAGATTTCATTTGAGACGGATTATTATATAAATTGTTCTAACTTGGTTTCATAGATGAAATAGTACATAACAATCTTGATTTTTTTTTCATAAAGCAGCCGGAGCAAAATATCTCTATCGATTCGCCTCCCATATAATCATTTTTGTTTTGCTCCGTATCCTTCTTTGATGTTGTCAGGAATTGCTGATTCAGGTGACAGACACACGAGGACATACGCTGTACAAACGGGAGAAGTTCAGCGATTTGAAGGGAAAGTTCGCTTTCACAGCGGATGAGTACGACATTTTCGAAATCTGCATCAGCAATCATGCTCCTATTACGACAGGTAAGTACATGCTTCTCGGTATTGTTTGATCTCGTTTTTTATTTTTCTTACTCGCTTTATACTGTTTGCTTGTAATGATAGAAATGAAACCTTGCAATTTTCACTATCGTAAAGTGACGCTCTACCCTCAAATCCCTTCAATATAGAGCACTTGTAGAATAGTATACCTGTGTCAATTCTACGGTAGACTTTTGTAACATCATGCTATTACGTACTTCTAAGTGTTGTAGACCGTTCTCCTTATAACATACCTGATTTTGCTGGATTTTTTTTNTTTTTTTTGAAAGATCTCTCCTTTTGCTTGCTTGAAATGATTCCTCATAAAAGGATCGGAAAATACATTTCTATGAAGTTTAGCTTTTTTGCTCCCAAATTATCATCTTTTCGTTTCCATTACGCGGGTTGACGGTAGTAGGTTAGGCAGTAAGAATTCCTATAAGAGTCGCCTGTTCCTGCGTTCGAAGTGGTGGTGACATGAGCTAGTCCGCTCCGTGTGTTAACAGTTTTTATATGGGCAATTATTAGAACACTTAGAGTAATCTTTCCAGGTCATGTACAACCCCGAGAGGTATCATTGAAGATGAAACATGGAGTCGAAGCGAAAAACTACGAGGATCTCGCCAAAGCAGAGCAGCTGAAGCCGCTTGAGGTATGGCTGATTGACTTTTCTATTTCTCTTTTGTTTGTTGTTTCGTCCTCTTCGAGTGTTTTTCTCATTGGCGTTTTTTACTGATTTAATACGGAAGTAGGATAAAGTGTCCACGTTCCGATACGAAGTTTGAGGTTTTTATAGGTTAGGAAGTGGACCTTTAAAGCTATTAGTCGTGACAGGTGTAGGACTAAGAAGAAGTGCCAAAAGCCTTCTACTATGCTTCTGTGCTCCATGCCTTGAACATTTGTAATGGTTTGGGTCTAGGTCGAATTGCGACGTCTAGAAGATCTGTCCGATCAAATTGTGAAAGATTTCGCCTTCATGCGACAGCGAGAAGAGGAGATGAGAAACACAAACGGTATCACGAATTTGTTCAATAGGCTTTCTTGTATTCAAAAATTTGGTCTTTTTCTTATGATTTCTTGGAAGTGCTCAGATAATGAGTTGGGTAGAAATTTTCTTGCCGAGGTTATCATTGTCCTATACAAATATGTATTAATGCGATTTCTATTCTTATTTCTGCGGTTCGATGCAATCCAAAGGCTTCATCGCGAGACCCATTAATCAGCAAAATTCTCAAAACAATTTTTTTGTTGCCAACAGACCTCTGATCACAGTACACTAGATAGATTAGAAATATTTACTTTGTTGCTTAAAAACAAGAAAAGTTATTACAGTGTATATGTTTTTCTCAACAGTACTTCGGTTTTTATCGGAGAGAAGGGTTTCGAGCTTTTTTTTTTGAAGTATTCACTGTGGCAGTTGGGTTCCGTAGGGTGAAATTTAGGAACTTATGGGCTTAGGTGATTTGGGTATACCCCATAATTCAAGGACTTACTAACATCTTTTCCTTTTAGAGTCCACAAACAGCCGTGTATTGTACCTATCTATTTTCTCTATGCTTTGTCTTCTGGCCTTGGCTATATGGCAGGTTTGTTTAGTTGTCTTCTGACCGTTCAGTCTATTTACGAAGCGAACACTGTTTCAGGTGATGTTCTTGCGCAACTATTTCAAGGCAAAGAAGCTCATTGACTGAGCAGCTAGTCGGATTAGGTAGAAACGCGTGATTTTTTCCTTGATTTATGAAGTTAATTTTTCTGGGTGACTGCCATTCTTGTCTCAAAGTTCCCGAAAATCGACTAGACTGTGGTTATCTGTGCACTACGTGTGATACGCTAACCTTTTCTCTTTTATAATGCGAGTCACCTGAATTTTGGCTAAATCTAGATGTGATGTTGCTGACTAATCTTGTTTGTACTCCGTAATGATGATGTGGGTAACATGGTTTAAGCTACCTTGTACTTATTATTTATTGTTGATGAATTCGTTATAATAAATTTGTTTCCTCCATGTGGACAGAAGTTACTCAAAGCTTCCTATTGCTTGGTGACCGATCTTTTAATTGCACAAGAACAAATCTATGCTTATATTATCGTTTAAAGAATTCATTGGTGAGTATTTTCATCATTAGTGTTGATTCATTTAATGTCAGATTTCAAGAAGCCCGAGAAGGCTTGAAAGTGATTATTTATTTATTTATTGATTCATGCATTCCATGTTTGGTCTGTGTTATCGGGGCATCTGTAAGGTGTATAGCTGATTTAAATCTGATCGTTGTTACGAATCAGGTTATTATGGTTGCTGCACAGCTCCCGTGATAATCAGCAATCCTAATATCTGGGAGGATTCTCGTTGGGAACGAGACGCGTGTGGAGCAAGGCGAGTCAAGCGTTTTGGTAGGTTGACGCGTTGCTGACGTAATGACTGCGAAAGTGACCTTTTTTGGAGCTATGATATATAGGCCTTAAGCCTGAAGTCTAGTAAATTTATGGTCGCGTCGAATGCCTAGGGTAGTAACATCGGAATCGAGTATATGTATTTCCTGGGATTGATGGAGGAGGGGTAGGTTCGGCGGCTAATTGAAAGGTAAGCGGGGTGGAGACTTATCCCCGAATTCCCACAGCCGGTGGCAGTGGTTCTGCGGAGAGTGCCGTATCCTTCCACTGAGAATTCAAATCTTTCCCTTCAAAGCGCATGATCGAGTGCGAGCGCGACATGCCGTTCGGGGAGAAGATACCAGACTACTTTTTAGATTTCAAAGAATACTTTTTATTCGAACCTGAGTGGAATGTGTGAAATTGCAGCATGGAAAGATTACATACAAATCTGTTACTAATTTTAATCACCGAGATCATCATCGTAGTCCAATCCATTGAAAGCAGCCATTGGATTTGCAATGAAGAGTTGACGTTTCAGCTAAAAAGGAAGGATGTCACCTAAGCCATGCAGTCTCATCAGTCGAACATTTCTTACCTGTTGCTTTCTCTGTTTAGCATCCGCTTCAGAAATGCTCATGTCATCGTCGATCGCTAGGAGTTGGGAAGCGTAATCGCTCAAGCCTTGCTGTTGCATTCGTTGAAACCAGACTTGCCTTTTTTGTTCTTCACGGGCTTGGTCGAGTTGTACTGCTTGTCGGTATTGCTGCTGAAAAGTGTGGCCGAGATATTTACTGAAACGCCTTTGTTGTTTACCGATGACAACTTGGTAAATTGATAGATAGGGATTTACCAACCTGAACGTTTGGTGGCTGTCTTGCGAGGATTTCTTCCAACCGCCGTTGCTTGTCTGATCTGAACAGTTGTGATAAAGCTGCGGTAGAACTGTACTGGAACTCGTCCACTTTGGAAGGAAGACATACCGTATCATATAGTCATCGTCGTCAAGTCTTTTCAGCTCATTCTTATCGTCTCTTGATGTTACATAGTCCTCCAACTCATCTACGTGTACTGTATCGGCAGACGTGCTGGCAATGACCATCAAGGAGATTAGGATAAGGAACTTCATTCTGAAATAATTAGTTTCGAATGGTGGAAGAGCAGCTCCTTTCTTCATTGAACTTGGGAATTGATGCTAGTTCTCTGACAGTCTGAATCACAAAGTTTAGGCGGGAATCGGTTAATGACTATACCGGAAGGCGGAACACCCTATCCAACAGTGTCTGATGTTCAAATTCGAAACAAAAATATGAGCATTAATGAGCCCTTAATACTTCTCTGATGTCGCTCGGTGGCTCATTCCTTGATTATCATTTCTTAAGACGCAGCTAATTTACAATCTAGCAGTCATAAGAACTCAAAAGAAGCACTGGAGATATACCTCAGTCTTTCCGGTGATAAGGTGAACGATTGGTCTGTGAAGGAGTTTCCCCGATACTGACCCCGTCAAATGATTCCGAATCTTTTCTACAGCTGGATTACCTGATCTACAATTGGAATACCTAATTCAATGTCGATAGCCCACTTGAAAGTCATAGGAAAGTCCAAGTGCGCTGAGGTACACACCTCTACGAAATTTCAGTACGTACACTATATTTCTTCATCTTTTCGTCGGTCAGTAAAAGATTTTGAGTGTAATTGAAAGCACTAGCGAAATTTAGGGACTGCGGCTTTAGGCATCAAAGCCTCAGGTAAACTGTCATTCAGGAAATGTCATTGTTTGGGTGGCAGAAATGCTTACATAAGCTCTTTTGACTGTGTTCTCTACTTCGAACAACAATTTATCAATAGGCTTAGTATAGCCTCAGAGTTCGACTGGTATCACAATGAAAGGGAGTAGTTTGAGAAAAGAATTTTTAGCTGGCTTGTAAGTAGAAATGTCATTTGTCTCGATGTACATCTGTTTTATACTGTTCGCTCGAGTCGGTAAGGCAAACAGAGATTGGTCGTTGGCCCCACAATGAACTCGGTTCGTACCATGTGTCATCAAGAGGTATCACTGAAAGTCCTACTGCTCAAAGACTAGATAGGACGGAACGGTCTTTTCGAGATGCGCCATGCACTGCGTCTATTGAAAAGCGTAGTGCATTTGTATACATATAGGGCCTGATTAGCAATTCTAAGGGATGGTCGGTGTATTCAAAAAGCAGTCAAGTGAGTGTATAGTACCATAAAACTTTGGTGCGGACCGACAGCAGCAGCAGAAGAGGCTGGCGAAGCTGTTATTCCTCGACAGGGTCCGTTCCAATGGGGCGTGCCAATGTACCATGGACGCTGTTAACCCCTACGTCGCCACCTTTCTTTATACAACAATCGAACCCAACAATCGATATTGATGGAAAACACTTCACTGAACTTTACGCAGATCCATTTTCTTTTTTTTTGGTACGAAGTCATTTGGTGAAGTAGTAGGTTAATATGGCTCCAGTAGGGTGCGAGAAGATGGTGTAGTGATAAGTGGCGTCCTTTAATTAACGCATGGTTACGGGTACGATTCCCGGATAAATTTCCATCTAGGCCAATCGAGTCTTCCATCACTCCGGGCTTAGATAACCGGTACCCGACTCGCCGGTGAGGACAAAACCACAGACTTGTTCATTGGCTGGCCACCGCAAGTGGTAATTACATAAACCACATATGCACTCAACACAATGACTCCGAACGGATCGAATGCGGGGCTCATCCTTCGGAAGGTATCGATCACAAGTTCCCTCGAAGTCACCACGAAATCCTGAATTTATTTTCAAAGTCCAAGACTGGAAGTGCGGTAGGAATCCGAAAAAATTCAACTGAGCTTGAAAAAACTATTTCTAGAGAACTTCTAGGAGTTCATAGGGCTTTGCGAGTGCGAATTCAAAGCATCAAATATGTTCGACTCACTGGAAAGCCTTTAAATGTTAGCAGAGACTCGAAAAGCTCTCCTTACGGTTTTTCGTTCTCAACACTATCAATTATCGCCCAGCTACCGCATGGTTCTTTTCTTTGATGGCGAAGTTAACTCTCTACTAAGTAGCTGCAAGTAACCAAAAGAATTAGAGTAAAATAGTGTGAGGTGTAGATATTGATGTACTTGACTGATGAAGGCATGTTGTCTTTGGTTGTGTAGCCGCATAGTGGGAGCAGTACGGTCTGGAGCATGATACTGCCATCAGTAAATGGGAGCCGTGTAGATTAGAGCGTTCTGCCCCTTGAAAACTTTTTTCATAGCTCTGTCACAAATCCTATCGATTAATACTACTTTAACGCTCATTATTGTTGAACTTCTGTTTGCTACTTCCACCCGAACTTGGTATTTCCATTTCATTTTGAAGATTTGCATTGATTAACTGATGCTACCTCTGTGCTCTCGTTGTTTGCTTGCATGCACTCCGTAACAGATGGGTGGACTTGGTCTTTGAGGTTGTAGACTTACTCCCCGGTGGTCTACCACCGAACTCTCAAGCAAACATCATCGCTCGTCACTCTACATATGTTGCA